CTTGTTCCAAGAATACAACACCAAGCTGTAAAATATCAATAATATATATATTTATATAATTATATATTTATTTATATAATTTAATTTTTTAATAATATTTAATTCTATTTTAAATCTTTTAAAATAGAAAGAACTAAATATTCTTTTAATCTTATATTTTTTTAAAGAATGTGTATAATGTATTTGCTTATCTATATAAATATTTCTTCGTGGCAGTTCAATACTTACATTATAATAGATATCAGGATTATTACTGTCATAAAATAGTGCTCGTTCATAAACTTCTTGAGCTTCTTTTGTACGATTAAGTTTAATTAAAACATCTCCGCGATTAATATATGCTTGAGTATAATCCGCGCGCATACTGATTGCTTGTCTATATAATAAATCAGCCTCTTCTAATCTAGTTGCGTTCTTTGCTATCAAATTAGCTAAATTAACAAATACATTTAAATGATTTGGTGCTATACGTGCTTGATAAGATTCTCCCGGTTTTGCTTTTGGTAATAATGACTTTGCCTAGAAAAAACAAAAAATATATATATAATAATACAAGTAATATTGAAAAAGCTAGACAAATTTGCATAAATTTAGTGATGATTACTTTTAAATACGCATCTTCAGCTTCCTTGAACATTTTCAAATGATTATAAGTTCGTCCAACATTAATATGTGCTCCTATATCATCGCCCTGAACTTGTACAGCCATATTAAAAAAATTTAATGCTTCTTTAAAACGACCTTGGCTTTCCAATGCATGACCTACGTTATTAAATAATTTGGCATTTCTATCATTTACTTTCAAACCGGACATGAATATCGAGTATTCATCTAACCAATCATAATTTCTAACAAATGTTTTTGTCGTATGTGCTGCCAGAAGTGTTATAAGTAAAAATAGCACCAACTTCTTGCATCTAAAAAAATGATATATATATATATATATTTATATGATAAAATATATTTTCTATGATTCATAGAAAAAATAAATAATCCATACAAATCGAATTACAGTTCACAGACGAGTCAACTTACTTCTTGTCTGCTAAAATGCTCCATCCATATCCAATAAGCATGCAAAACCCCATAGATGGTGCGTATAACACTCTTTCAGCAATTACAAATCCGACCGGGAAGAAAAGATTCGATGCAGGTAAAAAGGGGAGTATCATCATAGCTAAACTCTGCAGCATTATTTTAGAAACACAACATACTCATTAAATATTAGTATTGTTAATATTAGTATTGTTATAAAGGATCTACATATATATAAAATTTCTAGAGCATGCATATCACATATTTTTTTTATTCTAACACACACCAATATTCAGTTATTTAAACTTTCTATTATATCTAATTACACAAATGACCTACTAACCATAATGAGAATAACCGATGTTTGTCTGCTACGTGTTACAACAGCTGTCACAAGCAATCCTAATACAGTTCCATGAGTACCTAAAGTTGCGAGATTACGAACATCAGCAAAGCTTTCTACTAATGGTATCGTTCCCATTGTCCAATCACAGCACAAATCACTTGGAAGAAATAGCAGTCTTAAATTTACTGCAGCGAGATAATTATATGTAAGCTGTCTTGTTGGTGTTGCAGCAACTGATGCGGGATTGTCAAATCTGAAAGATATGTATGTATTATATAATTATAGTATGGAAATAAAATTAATTACAATTACATATATACACACAGCATACCTGGTAAATACAGGTAACTTTGAGCCCATTATATGTAATCGTAGGATAAGCAGGCTAAATGTAACAAGTGTAAGGGCGGTCAAACGTTTTGTACCCTCGCCTGACCATGCAGGTGAAATTTTATTACCACCAAAAGCTGACTTTAGTGCTAAGAAAATATCCCTTGCTCTAACCTAATAAAGTTACAAGTATTACTAATATAATTTTGCCATACTTAATGAATATGTGACAAATGTGTTGAAAAGGAATTTTACCTTTTGTACAACGAAAATTTCATATAATACACAAACTGCTGTTGCTGTAATTCCCTGTTCTTTACACAACATTGCAGTAAATACAAAAAACATAGATAACATCAAGGATTTCCATCCTGCAAAATGCCAATATATATGTATAACATAATATCCCACAATATAAATTCCACATCTATATTAGAACTCAAATCATTACCTGTAGACCTTTTGCTCTTACAACATTTAGTGTATGTGATTAAAGCTGCCAGGTAAAATAAGGAGGACAAAGTTTCTGCCCTACCAACTACGCCTGTAACCTAGGAATATAATTAATTACAATAGCTATATTTTCATCAAAAACATTGTTTTTGCAAATAATAATTCAAATAATAAGACTTTTTATTTTTGCTATTACATACTGCTTCTGTGTGTATAGGATGTACAGCAAAAAATAAAGATGACACAAAACTTGCTGCATCTGGTAGAAACATCAAACAGGTCCTGTAAATAATTTTTGTACTTGTAATTTTCTTTCTTGCCTTTAATACAAACTTTACTAAAGATTATTCTATAGACTATATAGAATAATAATTTTATAATTCCATATTAGAGGAGCATTGCAGCAAGAAACAAATTATAAAAATAATGTCAACAAACCTGAAATATAATAGACATACTCCAATATGTAGAATAACATTTAGCAGGTGATATCCCATAGGATCTAGTTGATGAATCAGGTAATTCCATCGAAATGTGAGAACGCAAAGTGGTCTATAAGATTTGTGCGACTGTTCCTATTAAAATAAAGAGATAATTGATAAAAAAAGTTGATCAAAGCAAGTGCACAGTTATTATTAATAGATAAATATGTGTAAGGAAAAAAAATATATTTTCTATATATTTTTTAAAAATAATATTAAATCTTAAAATAATTATACAATCTAAATTAAATTCATACTTTATTTTCACTGCATTTAATGACATATTATATATGTATCTTCCTCATGAAAAAATTAAAAAATTATACTGGAGATAATTAAGAAATAATACATTGAAACGAGATAAAATTATAGATTATATATTTTCATTTTTTTTTTAATTCTTTTTTTATATAGTATTATTAATTTGAGAATATTTTTCTGATTACATTGAATAAATATTGCCTAATATGAATATTTATGAATGGTATGTGGAAAATTTAATATTGTCAAATTAGCAAATATGAAAATAACATCAATGATAAGCTAATTTATTTATCATAACTGCATTTTTTCATATATCTTCTATATTTATAGTAAAATTAATATGTAAGCTGAAATTAGAGAGATAAAGATTACAGAAAAAAGTATAATAAGATACTGCAATAAAAGTGAACAGATTTAAAAACTCCAAATAGGTACAGAATACAGGTCTGTATTCTAAAACAGATATTTATTCTATTTTATCAAAAGATGAACTATAATAAAATCGATATAATTATGAAAATATTAATTACTGATATTATAAATACAGAAAATTATATTGTAGTTCAATTTTTACATTTTTGTCATACAACAATAAACCAAAAATTAACTGTGAAGAATAAAAACATTAAAATATCTGAATTTCTAGAAATTTTATCGATTTCGATTCTTTCCGAAATCAATAGAATTTCGACGATCTCATTTCTAGACGCTTTAGAAATGTAAAAAAAATCTAAAATGATTACAAGGATTACTTTTGCATATCGGTAGTATGGAAATCCGAAATTTAACTATGCTGTACCGGCTTTGATTCATGTCAGACAGAACGCACGCGAGGGAACGGAAGACGAGAGAAACGGAAGATATAGAGAAAGGGGGATCGGATCGGGATGAAATGGACAGGACGCTCGCGGATCAATACGTAGAGGGCCATCTATAGGGATGGTGAAGAGAGAGGGGAGGATCATGAACGCGCGTCCTTCGAGGGCCGGACGATGCCTCCTCTTCTCTCTCTCTCTCTCTCTCTCTCACTCTTTCTCTCTCTCTCTCTCTCTCTACTTCTCTCTCCCTTTTTCTCGCACCTTATGCATCGGGGTACCCCAGAAGTCGTTGTAGAAGACATTCTTGAGGGGCGTGTGGGGCCTGAGGTCACGATTATCCTTGATCGCCGAGATATCGTCGAAGACGAAACCGCAACCGAGGCTGTTGAGGTACACGGCGAGCGCGGTTACAGCCACGATCGCCGCGAGTGCTCCCCGCGCAGGCACTCCCATCACAAATAACACATCGATCGGCCGGTTGCCTTTCGTTTCTATCGCGCGATCTCCGCGGATCACTCCGGGAATGAAAGGAGGAACGTGGTTCTCCCCTTTCGTCTTCTCACTCGTTCGCCTTCGTTCTCCCTCTGTCGCTCTTGAAATTACGATCTCCCTGATCCTCTCTTAATTAACTAAGAACTCTCCACGAGAGACGCACGAATGTCATTTCCACGCACGTCGATCGCGTAACCGCGTCGGCTTTTAGGCACATCACAACTGATCCAGTTGCACCGCGACCAGGCACCATCGCGAGTGTCGGCGAGCCGAAGCGTAGCCGCGTCGCGGCGTCGCCGGCATAGTCGTCGTCAGCGACTTGGGGAGAGGCTTCTTCGTAGCTTCTCGCTGTCGCACGTTACTACCTCGTCTCTCTAGAGCGCGTCGTCTCGTCGCGATCGAAGATCGCGGCCAGCGGGAGATGAGGAAACGCGGCGCAAACGGGCACGACCATACGCACGTACCGCGCACCGCGATCGAGCTGTCAAACGGCGGATTCGCGTCGCGCACAATCGCCGACGACAGCGACGCTTGGCGCCGTTTTTGCGCGCGATCTGAGGAGACACGAAAACTTGAATAGCAATAAAAATTGTTATAAGTTATTTCATAATCTTTATCTAAAGAATTAAGACTTATATAATTTTGAAAAATCGAGATAAAGTGACAATTAATGGACACGTGGTAAAAGAATTTAAAAGACATTACTTGCAGTTTCTTAAAATGTAACTTTTTTCGTATTTTTTATTGTAATTGCTCATTCTTGAGTTTTAATATACACCAGTTTATACATATTTGTGTTATACATTGGAATTATATCAATGTCAACTTTATCTGTAGAGCATCGAATATTCAAAATGTAGATGGAGCTAACGAAGTTACTAGACAACTATTGCTGCTGCTGATAATGTTTTTATTTCTCGTCCTAAAACAGCGATACATTTTTAGCTTTCGTTAGATATATAAATTTTTCCTGAAGAGGCAAATGTCGTTTCGTTCAAGGAATGGATGCATAACGAATAAGTGCATTTTCGGACATAATTTCATATATTTCGCAATATTATTGAAATCAGCACAAATTATCATATTGGAACTTTCAAGTCCTTCGACATGCCTTGCTTCAACGTAAGAGTGTACGCAGGCAGTTGTTTGCGTTTTATTTTTACTTTCTTTTAAAGAAACTGCTAATAATAATGATCCAAGTTTTTCAATCTTCAAAGTGGAATTTGTATTTCTTTCGATTTACTAGTTGTGTTGTTTATCAGTTAATTAAATACGTCAATATATTTTATGGATATTTTATGGATATTTTAAAAAATTTTTTATTGGTATATAATTAGTTTTTATTTGGATATATTGCAGAGTATACAATAAACTTTTTAATAGAATCAATATGTTGAGAGATTTATTAATGACAAATGATTGGAGCATTCTATGCCATGCAGAAACCAGCAAAAACATTATCTTATAAGAGAACTTATACTGCAATAACAATGAATTTAACGATAACAAAAATTGTTGGAAATTCCAAATCAAAAGAACTCAGAGTTCTCATCTTCTTACAACAAAAGAGAGAGCTTATATCCATGAATTGGTTAAAAAGCTTAATCTGAAATAAAAGAGCCAAAGGTAAAATCAAATGTGATCAACACTACATTTGTCGAATATAGCAATTAAATTTACTCAGTTAATTTTCCTTAGTAGATTTTTTTATTGTGTAATTTTTTTGCAGAAAGGGTATGAATCGATTCTTGGTGGTATATAAGACAGAAGAATCAACAATAATTCAAGCTGATGCTGTGATAAAATTATGAAAACTATTTAAGTAAAACATACATAATTTTTTATTATAAATCACAAAGACCTTTTGTTTTCTCTAATAAAGAAAAAACATTCTGTAAATAATGTTGCTTTATGAAAAAACTAATTGATGGCAAGTGTTATTTATATATAATTATTTATGTAGTTGAAAATGATATAGAATATTTAACACATAACTCACTTAACTTAAATATAAATATTCATATAAAAACTTAGTACCTAATTAATTTTTGATATAATATTTTTATTGTTGCAGTAAATACAAATACACTAACATAAGACAATCAGAAAGTTCTAATAATAATGGCATACTGCAAGTACCTTAATTTAAACTGAATTTTGACATATTGCATTTCCACAAATCTTTATCAGTTTTTAATGTGGTAGAAAATGTATCAATCATCAAGTGATTATAACCATGGATAAAATGGAATGCATCAAAATTACATAGATATCGTGATACATCTTGAAATCACCTTTAGAATCACTGTTTAATACAATGATAAAAAATACAGTACAAATACAGTTAAAGATGATCAATATTCTAGATCTATAGAAAGATCTCACTAAATTAATGAATTATTTACTAGATTTGCCAAATGAAAAAGTTGCTATATGCTATGCGTGTTAAAGTAATTATATTCGTGTGGTTATAGTTAATTTAATTTATTACATTATAATATTTTCTAGATAAAATTAAATTACTTACCATCATTACTTTTATTAATAATTATTTAATCAATTTAATAAATTTTAAAGCTGCAATTCAATATCTTGCAAAATTTAATATCTTTGCAGTGGGAATAACTTTTGTCCTTTATTGTTTTTCGTTCAATTGTACATTTAGATTCTTAAAAAAATATTTTTTAAAACCAAAAGTAAAAAAAAATTAAATTACAGCTTTAAAATTTTTATAACTGATTATATAATTATTAATGGATGCGGTCAAGACTGCACTATGAAACATTCTATCTTTATTCTCATGTAATGAGAACAAAGATAGAATGATGTTTCAAAGCATCCAGAGCGTCTTCCTGACCGCAGCCAATATAAAATAATTATTAACAGTTTAACTTTTAAATTACCTAGCGTTAGAAAAAAATTAAAATTAAAAGAATTTAAATAAACAATCGGGGCAAATGTTTTAAAGAAAAATACTAAAAAAATAAAGTTATTCTTGTCAAATAACTATAAAATTCGAGAAAATGACTTGAATCAGTTTTTAAACTGAACATTTTAGATGCACTCAAAATAGATAAAAAAAAAATTTTTTTCTTATCTATTTTCTTAATTAGCAAATTACACAATAGAAACATAGACACATACACACATTCACTTTAACAAATATTTACTAAATACTATTTAACTATTGCATAAAACAATTGTAGATATGTTCTTTCACATCTATTTTTGATGTTATTATTGAATTACATATTAGGAATTATACATTTAATTTCAATCATAAAAATAAATTCCAACTTATATTTAGATTACCTTTTCGTTACTCATACATACTATAGCATATATGCAAAAACAACAAAAAATTACATACAAAAATTACATACAAAAAATTAGATTATTTTCAATCAATATATTTTATTTTAATGTAATTCTCGTTTTTTCATAATGACCTGTATAGGTTCATTAGTACATAATATTATATTCATATTTAATTTAATTTTATCTATTTGAACACTTTTCTCTACTTTGAACATAAATGTTCTTATCAAAACTGCTAAGATAACTTTCATTGAAATCATTGCATATCTCATACCTGCAAAAACTTATATTCAAGTAAATTTTTTTATTATGATATATGTTTTATGTGATTTATTTATACTCTCTTACCTATACAATTCCTGAGTCCATAACCAAATGGCATGTAATGTTTGTAAGATGTTTCTATTTTCTCAGAGAGGAATCTGTCCGGGTCAAATACCAATGGATTAGGCCAATATTTTTTATTTCGGTGTAGATCCAGTATACTCAAGATAACATCAGTGTCTTTTGGCAAGATATTCTCTCCTAAAACATATATACTTATATTTAAATTATTATATAAAAATATATAATAGAAAAATATATAACAGAAGCATTAATTATTCTAATAGAATTATTATAATAGAAATATAATAATTAATTTATATAAATAAGACCATAGCATTATAATTCAAATCGTCTTCATTTTATAGATCGTTATGTATTTGATATACAAAATTGCCATTGAATAAATAATATTTCTTACTAAATATTAACATGATTTTTTCAAATTCTTTCTTATTAAAAAATTTTGATAAATTCAAACTTTAATTTTTTTTTGTTTTTTTTTAAGATTTAATTTTTAATGAATATTAAAGTTGCTTTAAACACAACAATTCCCTTTAATTTTATAATCAATTTTATCTTCAATTAAACAAAAAAGACTGATGTGTTTTATTCGAATTTTACTTTGCTTATAATTCATAATCGAAATAAATTCCAAGAATAATTTTATAAAGAGAAAAATATCGATATTATATAAAATATATTTAGTATTGAATATTTTTCTATATTTATTTTATCTTTATGTATAAGCATAAAATAAACGTATAATTCTTAAATAATAAAATAATATATGTTTGTTTATTTATATATATTTGTAGTTATCTTTTAACAATTATGATTTTTCATATTTAAGTTATACATAATAATAATAATAATATATATATACATATATATAGTAATAAGATAATTATATTTAAAAGCAAACCTATTTTTATATCCTTTGTTAAATATCGCCCAATTAAAGGAATACTAGGAAATAATCTCATAGTTTCTTTAATGACACGATCCAAATAATCCATATGTTGTAAATCTTCGTATTTAATTGGAGCAGATTTTGGAGTTTCTGTCTTATAAATTTTCCATAATTCTCTATATACTTTTTCCTATTACGATATTAAATAAGATACTTGATTATAAATATATAATAAATATATAGACATATACACAATATGTATAAATCATAAAAGATAATCTTATTAATTGCATTTACGAATTCGTATTTTGATATTTAAATGCTTATAATGATCAAAAATCAATGTAGACATTGTATAGCTTTATTAAAATTCTTAATTTAATTAAAACATTACACACAAAATTCTTATTTGAGCAAATTTGTAATAAATAAATATATGACGAATATTACATTTCTTTTCTGTTTACTTGTTATAGGTATTATACTTATTTTGAAAAAAAAGTCGTTAATACAAATTAAATTTAAGTTACAATTTGAACAAAGCTATAGCGATTTAATTATTCTATTAAGCTCAGTAGAAAGTACTGTATAATTTTCATGTACTTGTATATAATTCATATACTTGATATAATTTATATACTTGTATATTAAAATATAATTCTAAATAAATTATTATTTGTGAATAATTAAATTATTGAAAAAGAATTCCAAACAAATTATTATTTGTGTGAACAATTGAAATATTATTATTTGTGTGAATAATTGAAATATTGAGAAAGAACTTTTTTATTACTGTTTAAAAATATATTCACCATAGAAGAGAATCGTACGAGAGGAGATCCGATAATAGATATAAGTGTTAATTATTTGATTTATACATAAAACCTCGAAGTCATAGACATTGTTACATGGAGAAGAAGAATAGTAATCGTACGAGCGATATTATTTTTCTACTGGTTGAAGATTGGCAAGCCAATAAAATAACTGATCTAAAAATTATTCTAAACTCACAATTCGCACGGTTAACAGATTTTTGTAAGAGCTGGCATGAATCAAAATGTAAAATTTAGCTACTACTTCTCTTTTCCATGTAACAATACATGTTCATGAACTTCGAAGTTGCGCGTACAAATTATATACATATAATCAATCCCTATATTCTTATTGCCGGGCCACCTATGTATCATTCACAACATATTTCGTTTATTGAATAAATTTAATAAATGTAATAAATACATACTTGTATCTGTGGAAAATTGGCTAACATAAGAATCACAAAATCTACCGCAGTAGCAATTGTATCACTGCCCTAATAGATAAAAATTTAATTTGTTGATTAATACAATAAATAAGTTAAAACAAAAAAAGTTCTGATATATTGAATATAAAAAATTGGAAAGAAATAGAGCTAATAAAAACCGAATGCAATAAATGATTGTATTTACATTGTAAAAATGTCATTAGTGTAAAAATGTGTAAAAACAGTATAAAAATTCTCTTCGATAATAATATTTCAGTTCTTTCTTTGGACCTTTCTTTGGACCTTTCTTTGGATCTTTCGCATACAGAGATAAATAATATGTTGATAAAATATTATTCGATATAAACAAACCAAGAATAATCATTAATATGGGAAGAGTAGATAAAAATATTTAAATTTTTAATTTTCGTTAAATTTTAAATAATCGTTACATGCGTGATGAAGATATTTGTCTATTGAAATTATTTTCCTAACACTTAATAAATAACATTATATTATTAATTTCTTATTTAAAATATCCTATACATCCAAGATTTCAATCTGTTATTCCATTAAAACTCATGACTTGTTATTCATGTATGAGATTTGTAATAACAGAGTGTTGCAAAGTGCTTTTATTAATATTATTATGTTTTTGATGCGTGTTTTTAAGAATCTGCTCATTTGCAATAGAATGCACCAAATCTTTATCTGAAATTTTATAATGATTTACTATATTATTTGTTTATTTAAGGAGAAGGTCTTTATGAAAACTTAATTTAATAAAGGGATGCAATTTGTTAATATTAGTATAAAATAAAATTATATTCCGATCACTAACTCTATGTCTAAAATGTTATTATAATTTGTATTCAATAATATTTTATTTTTTTTTTTTTTTTTTTTTTTTTATTATTATTTATTTTTTTTGTATGCTAAGAGGAAAAATGCTTCACAAAAGAACCATTATTAAAAGAAATTTTTACATAATGTAATGCATTTATTATTATTAGATTCCATTCTTATTAGTCCTATTCTTTCCGAATTTTTTATATTTAATAAATTGCAATAAATTATGTTTGTTTATATATAAATATAGTTATAGAAATATTTTAGATACCGCAGAAATTATATAGAAATATTTTACATACCCCAATTAACATCGTTATTAGATTATCATGTATCATCTCTTGCGGATATTTGTCTTGATAAGACATTTCTATTATATTGTCAAGAAATGTCTTGTCTATATTATATAAAAAACAAAATGTAAAATTTTGTGCATGTCTGTATATATTAATTAGTGTATTAATTTTATAATAGTACGATTAAAAATGTCACTTTAAAAATTAATATTGAAAATAAGTTCAGAAAAAGAAAAATATCTTCAGCAATGATTAATAAATTATTGATATGATTATTAAATGATTGATAAATTTAAATTTTAATAATGTTTCAACAATTGAAACAAGCACTTTAATAGTATCTTAAGTTTTTGAAAAAAAATTATACTGCTGACAATTTATAAATCTTACATCATAATACAACAATAAAAACATACAAATAAAAAATAAATAAAAACTTACGAGTTGTTCCATATTTAATGTCATTCTGTGCGTTTAATGCATATATATGCTTTTGTACTATCTATGTAATAATAAATTATGTAGTAAATATATATATATTATAAAATACAAGTTATAAATTAATTCATTATTAGTATTCGCATTTACCTTGTCTGTAAAAGAATGTAAGAAGTTTATCTTCCTTTGCTGTTCTCGTTCCAAAGCAGTAAGATTGAATATAAAATCAGGATATAAGAATACATTTCGTATTCTTGACATACAAATTTGTTTCAAGCTGAAAAATTTTTTTTTTTAAATAATATTTTATATAATACAAAGCATTTAACACTAATTATTAAATTCTACGAATAGAACTGTTGAATAAGAAAAAATGTTGTTCTCTTATGCGTCAACAATATTATTTATTTCTAGTTCTAAGTATACATCAACAATATTATTTATCATAAATTTTTAATTTAAAATATAATTGCTATATTTATAAAAATTCTTATGAAAATACAATTTCTTAAAAAATTTGTAAGTTATTTTTAGATAGACTTATTATAATGATTTATAACATTTACATTAATATTGTAAGAAATTAGAGCTAACAAAATTATTTTACCTCGTTATTGCTTCCATATATTGATTGATTTCATTGGATAAGGATTCCACTTTGATATTCGTCATTATGTCTTTATAATGTCATGAAAAATAAAATAATTAATCAAGATTTATAACTATCAAGATTTATAATCATTAATTTATTAATAATATTAAGTTATACATTTTATATATTCGTTAAACAAATGTAATACGAAATTTTTAAACAGAAAATGAAAGTTTCTTACAAAATACTTGAAAATAACAATTAACTATAGATTGGTTATTTTTAGTATTCAATTTTCTTTACATATCCAGGTAGCAGAATGACGTCAAATGACGTTTAAAGTAACGTTTTAATGAAGTGATAGTACGTCATTAAGATCTCTTTAGATGTTATCTTGCTACCTGAGTATAAATTTATTTATATTGAATTTTGAATAATATTTTATAACATATCTTATTATCAAAATCTTCTAAAAAGTAAAATATATAAAATACAAAAACTCAAAAATCAAAAGATATGATAATAACTCGTACTAAATTACGCGTAGCAATAGCGAAGCGAACTATGTATATGAATCGTCCTGTACAAAAATAATAGATTATAGGATCTCACAAAGTAATAGTTCTACCATTTAAAATCTTAATAGTCATAATCGACAGCTTGGATCTCATTATAAAGAAAGTGTTTATTTTTGTTCTATGTACTCAATAAACGAAAAGAGATGCAGAATTTTAATGTTTTCATTGAAGAAATATTTTAATAATCATCATGTTGCTTTTCGTTCTTTTCCATTACATGTGTCTCTATTGTATATGTTCTTTGGCGTACGATTTTTTCTATTATATGTAAAAAGTTTCTGTACAAAATGATATGAATCCTACTGCACAGTCACTATTTTGAACACTTTGGATAAAGCTTATCGGCGATAAGTTACTTCGCGGTATATATACAAATGTACAATATACATATTCTATATTTATATGATTGGACATCTACATTTTATATATTCTATGATGGGATAATTTATATATTGTTTAAACTTCTGTTCTTTTATACAATATGAATTAACGCCATTAATTATAAGCTTATTAGAAATCTAATCATTCTATGCATTATTAAGATTTAATAAATAAGATGATTTTAATTAAATAATTTGTGTATAAATATTACTAAAAAAAGATTAATGTACAATTGTCTTTCTAAATTTAAAAGTTTTAAATATTGTCTTTATAAGAAAAAGTAGAAAAATGCACTGTCCACACAAAAAAACTTCGTGTATAAAAGGGTATTAGTTTACAAAAAATAATAATACATAAAAAAATGTTATACAAACATTATTAAAACAAACATTATTTTATCATCTACTGTACAAATTTCTTTTATATAAAAAATTATAATGTAGCAAATAAGCTAAAAAACTATTTAAAGTTATATATATTTCTTGTTAAATTTATAATATTACAAAATACTGCAAAAATTTAAAAGTCATAAGTATTTCATACAAAAGATTTTTGTATTGCTATATCAATTGTAATAAAGTAACATGAATAATATGATAAAAGATTTTACTATCCATAATAAAATATTTTATTATCAAATTTCAAATATGTAATACATAAAAATTATAATAGATTATACAGATTAAATTATATGGCAATCAAATATGTTTTTAACGTTATAATAAAGAAAGTTCTCTTATAGACATTTCTAAATGAAATACAATATTATACATATAATATGAATAAATAGCAAAGCTTTTTTGTATTATTTTATTAAATTTTTATAATTTTTATATTTTTGCAATATTTTTGATATTAGTATTTTTGCAAGAAAGATATATAAGTTTAAATAATTTTTTTGCAAATTGGCACATTTTCATATCATAATTTTTTTTAAATAAAACAGATTTCCGTGGATAATGAAATAACATTACTTTGTATTTTTTAAACTAAAATTTTTTTTTTAAATAATTTTTTTAACGATCGCGTGTGTAAATTTGGAGTTTTTCCATGTTTTCTTGAAAAGAATTTATATAGGTTTTTTATATGAATTTTTATATTATAATTTTGATGCGAATTTATGATTACAATTAATTCAAATGTAAACTTATAATTATAATTAATTCAATGAAATAAATTTAATTCTGCTATTGTTAAATTATTGTAATTATGACAATTTTTTACTCCTAAAAATTTTATCTTTATATCATCTTTATTTAATATTATTTAATTTATGGATTATTTATAAGATGCGTAACACAAATAAGATGTTAAAGATAAGCATATGCATAAAGATTATGTATAAAATGTATAACATAACTATGTACGATTTTTTTAAAAATTATTTTATATATATATATATATATATATATATATATACAATATACAGACGTTTTATAAATAAATAAAAATATTTAATCTTACCACACGCACTATTCAGAGCATATTTTGATATTTGATTTAAAAGAATCATTTTATTTTCTTTTAATACAATCTTTTCTAATTGATCTGTTAATATTACAGATTGTTCGACAAATACATTAAAAGAGTTTTGTAGTGCGATTGTATTAAAATTCGGTGCTATTTTTTTTCGATTTTTAATCCCTGTCGATCCTAAAATAAATATATATGAAGATATAGTAAAAAAGAAAGAATATGTAATATACAAATAAAAATCATGATAATAAAAAATGTTATTAAAAATTTAAGTATTAATAATTTTAAATTTGCTACATTGCTGTCGAAGTATAAATAAAAATATTATGTGACTACAGAAATACAAGTAAATTATAAAAGTTGTTTTAATTATGTTATTATGTAATTTAAATATTAGAAAGAAAAAGAGATAAAGGAAGAGAGAGAGAGAGAGAGAGAGAGAGAGAGAGAGAGAGAGAGAGAGAGAGAGTAAAGTAGGGCTATTATCTGTAATTTTAATGACTTAGGATTGAGAGATCTAAAATTTCAGACTTTCCGACTAAAATAGACATCCATAACATAAAAGTATTGCAACTAATAAAGCTGATATAAAGCAATAAAAATAAAAGAATCTTTTATATTTTGAATATTAATATTATTAATATTATTTTTCATAATATTCATAATATTATATTAATAATATTATGAATATTATGAATCATTATTAATAATCATTAATAATCATTATTATTATTGAGAATTATTAATAATAATTAATAATAATAATAATAATAATAATAAAATGATTATTACAATATTATTTTTTCTGTTGTCAATGATTTCGATTGACATCCTCTCACTGCGTCAATATTCCATGCCGGCATATTTGGAAAAAAACCGCTAAAAATCTGGACTATTTTATAAAATCACTACGAACAGTCTCGGGCTAACAACGTTATAAACTAAGATAAAACCGATAAAAATGGATAGCAGCCCTAATTAGAAGTTATTTTAAATTTTATTATATTAACAATATCTTACCAGGTGCTGTGAGTAATCCTTTACCTAATAATGGTTTAAGAAATTTATATAGTATACTTTTCTCTTCACTATTACGTAAGATTATCTACAATGTTATATGAAATATTGTTAAATAATTCGAATACATATCTGTTTATGTTATTCAGACAATTAACATGAGTAGTTTAGATGTCAAATGATACAGTCGACCCAAACTCGACATCAAATTATTAACAGATTTGAGATACAAATAATGTAAATCATAGAATTATACTGAATATATTATATATCATAGAATTATACTAAATTCATCTGTTTTCAGAGTCAATCAGATTGCATAATTAAATCATTTTTATGTACTTATGATAAAAACAAACGCTAAAATCTTTATTTCTCAAATTTTTATTGTTCGTCTTGTACCACTTGATACTTGAGCTATTCATGTACTTTAGAAAATCACTTTAGTTAGATTAGTGATAAATTATTAAAGATATAGAGAGTTATTATTTATTTGGAATATATATACATATTCCCTAAATAAATTAATTTGTTTGAATCATTCAATTAAAATATATTTATATTGAAATATATAGGCATTATTTTTTTACCTGCATTTGATCAAATTCACATGTTCCAATAAATAATTTGTTAGCCATGTAAAATTTAAATGGAGACGGATATTTTCTTGTTAATTGAGATATAATACTTAAAAATTCTAGAAAATATTTATTATATAAGGTAATTTATCAAAATTTTATTATTTTGAATTAATAACAATATTTAGCGGTAATTAATTTTTGGATAAATATTTTTATCTTCTTTATTATTACCATTAGAATTCTGCAGAAGAAAATAATAGGCACTTCCAATAAATGGAAATGCTTTTGGACCAGGCAGAGTGTTTACCGTTTTAATAGAAGATCGTCGGTGACAGTAATTCGAGATGAAATAACTTATGACGATACCTGCCAATGCAATTAACACAACACTTATAAATGGCATTATTAAACAATGATAACAGCGAAACAGTATGGTTTTGCAGTAATGCTCTACTACTTCTGTAAATGATGGAGACGCTTTTATTATATCTCCCCACCCAATCATACGATAATAATTAAAAAAACAATTTACATAATGCGTCCTTTAAATTGGAAAGTAAATGCATTAAATTTTATTGAAATATCAAATCTCACACAGAAAATTTTTAAGAATTTTTCAGATTAAAAAGAAGGTAAAATTTTGGTAAAGTTTTGGTTTAAAATGCATTACTTTTACAAGATTCTAAAAAATAATAATTTCGACGCTATATCAAATGATAATTTTTACTTTGCTATTTTTTTAAATTCTTTTATATGTATAACTTAATGTTAGCTATTTTGTCTTTAAAGGAAGAAAATCAAATTTTTCAATAAAGGAAATCAAATCTGTCAACAAAATTTAAATCAACAAAAATCCTACTTTTGGTATTCTCTTTCTCTCTCTCTCGTTTTTTTAGGATTATATTATATCATATAAAAATTAGCTGTGTATATGTGTGTCTGTATATACAAGATGTTTCAGGATGTCCTAATATATAAATTTAGGACCTCATAATAAGAAAAAATTTTCCTCTAAAGGTGTGCTCGTAATCATTTTGTTTAAGAGATATCAACTAAAGTTATAGGAAAGTTAGGAATGATAAATTTATTATATACGACTACTAAACAAAAAGTTTTAAAAAAACTTTTAAATAAAAGATTTATTGAAGGCTAATAATATTAACTTCTTCCCTGATGCGGCCGAAAATACTCGTCCCGACTAGTCTTGCAAATTCTGACACGGCCGAGTTATCTCGTACCAACTTTTTCTTTTTCTTTCTTTCTCTAGGAGATATAACTAATAACTCTGAAACTACTAATCAAAAAATGTAATAAAACAATGTGACAATTTTTTGTCACATTTGTTGAAAAAAATTTAGGGATTAATTTTAATTTTTTAAAAAGAAGAATTATTGAAGCAATTACATTATATATAAAACAATTACAGCTGTCCAATGGCGTTTTACTATTGATGTCATGGAAGAAAGATATTGAGCCAATGTTCAAGGCCATCACTTTGAACAAAATTTATACTATAATTATGTTACAGTTTTCATATTTTCTAATAATTTTAAAGTAGTTGAAACATTATTAATTTATTTCTGATAACCTGACAATAATTTTATAAAATTTTATATTGAAAATGTTTAGATAATAATATCTCTTAATAAATCGTTTATGGGCATACCTTCAGAGGATAATTTTTTCTTGTTTTGAGATCCTAATTCATATGTTAAGTTAGAATATTTAATCTTGAACTAATTTGTTAGCCTATATAATATTTTCATATAATTGCATTGACATATATAAATAAATTATTACATGTACTGTTCCACAAGCATCGATATATTTTTTTATTTAAAGCACCAACAAAATACTATAAAGACTAACTAACCTTAGCATATATAATTGTTTTGATTAATAGTAGAAAATTAAATGAAAAAAATACATATACATGAAAGTAAGCACTTTCATTAAAAATACTATGAGCAGTACAAGTGGTGATCTATTTTAGTAGTTGAAATACTACTATTTACGTATTTAGTGTATTTATTTTTCTATACAAAATTACTATTTATGTATTTAGTATATTATGTAATTAATATGTTTATTTTTCTACGAAAATTGTATCTTTCTACGCGAAAGAAAAACAGCATGCATAACGGCTTCTTAATTTTTATGAAAAAACTATGTTGATAAAATATGTAATTATATTATTATTCAATCATACATGATATCTGACTTTTATAAGATGCTTTTATTTAAAAAAAAGAGAGAAGTCCTATCTATATTATATAAAAAGACAGAATATATATAAAATTTTATGTGCATGTGCATGCACAATAATAATGAAAATTTTTTGAAAATTACTAAGAATCATAAATTTAAAATATTTATTAAAGTAAACATTATTAAGATTAAATTTCTTTTTTTAAAAATTTTATTTTTACAATATTTCAACATCAAATATTTTAAAAACTTAAAAAGAACACCATATAATTTAAAGCATATTTTATTGAAAATTGCATCTTTATAATATATATCAAAAAAAATTATCAATATAAATTAGTAAAATTGTTAGGATAATTTTTATTTAAATCATCGCATATTTCATATTTGTAATCTTGGTAATTACACGCAAATAATGCACTCATTAAAACATCATTATACATTCAGTCATATTCTTATTCAAGATATACAACTCTTGATCTTTATAAAAAGCTTCTATTAAAATCTCAGAAAAATAGAAAAGTCCTACCTATATTATTTAACAAAAATAAAATGTAAAATCTTATGCTCATATGTATGCACAATAATGATAGAAACTTTTTAGAAATTATTAAGAGTCATGAATTTACATCATATATCAATATTTAAAAGTATTGAAGTTAAATCTCTTTTTCTAAAAATCTTATTTTTACAATATCTTAAAATCAAATATCTTAAAAACCAAAAGACGCCATAATTTAAAACATATTTTATTGAAAATTGCGTCTTTATAATATATATCAAAAGAAAACTTATCAATATAAATTAGTATCAAAATTGTTAGGATAATTTTTATGGAAATCATCGCATATTTCATATTTGCACAATCTTGGTAATTATACACGCAAATAATGCACTCATTAAAATATCATTATTAATTATACATTCAGTTATGTTCTTACTCAAGATATACATCTCTTGACCTTTATAAAAAGCTTGTATTAAATCTCAAAAAAAAGAAGTCCTATCAATATTATTTAATAAAAATGGAATATAAAATTTTATGCTCATATGTATGCACATTAATGATAAAAACTTTTTTAGAAATTATTAAGAATGAATTTACATCATATACTAATGTCTAAAAGTATTGAGGTTAAATCTCTTTTTCTAAAACTTTTATTTTTACAATATTTTAAAATTAAATATTTTAAAAACCAAAAGAGAACGCCGTAATTCAAAACATATTTGATTGAAAATTACATCTTTATAATATATATCAAAAGGAGTTATCAATATAAATTAGTATCAAAATTGTTAGGATAATTTTTATGAAAATCATCGCATTATTTCATACTTGCACAATCTTGGTAATTACACACAAATAATGCACGCATTAAACATCATTATTAATTATACATTCAGTTATATTCTTATTCAATTATACATCATCTCTTGACCTTTATAAAAAGCTTCTATTAAAATCTCAAAAAAGAGAGAAGTCCTATCTACATTATTTAACAAAAATAGAATGTAAAATTTTATACTCATATGTATGTGTAATAATGATAAAAACTTTTAAGAAATTATTAAGAATCATAAATTTATTATCATATATCAAAATTTAAAAGTGTTCATCCAAAGTTCATCCAAAAGCAAGGCATGGATTATGTAATAATAAATAATAAATAATAAATAATATATTGTGAGATTATTTAAAAGATTAAGAATATTAACGACATATTAAATTTAAAAATATCTGCTTAATATTTTCAACATATTTAATATTCATATATATTGTGGATATATCTTTCAATTATTAAAACAAAATAAAAAACCATTTTTCGCGTATATTCGTATAATTAATAAGATAAAATTAAAATTAAATGAAATTTATTAAAGTACATTGAAAAAAAAATTCAAAAAAGCTTACAATATTTCAAATCGTTGTCTGATATTTCTTTTTAATTTTTGATTTATAATTACAAGAAAAAAATTTCTGTATATCTCTCTAAAACTATCAACAAATAAAACTTAAAAGATTATTCCTATTATATTTATTATAATTTGTTAAGCTATTTTTATTGGTAAAGTTAATATTTCTCTTTCTAAAGAAATTTTATTTCTTAAAAAGTGTTAATTATTAGTAGCATTAATAATTTTTTTAAAACAATCTATGAAATACTTTTCGAAATGAAAGTCTATTCTATTATAATTTTCCTAGAATTTTAGTCGTATTTTTTCTAAAAAATTCTAATCATTCTAATTATTAGCAATATGTTAATTAATTTTTTTACAATCATTTGATCGCTCAATAGAAAGTTACAGATATAGTATTTCGAAAACATCATACGAAAAACTGCGAAAAATAGCTTTCAAAATATTGGATGCAACGGTTTAAATATTAAGAGATATTTTTAAAATTCGTTGAATTTCAGACAACACATATCTTTAAAGGACTAAAAACCGATTTAAAATTATTATTCTCGTCTTTTAAAATGTCCCTTATTCTACTATATAGATTTTTTTTTCTTAGAATAAAAAATAATTAGCAAAGAAATATAATGTTTAAGAATTATAATATTTATATAAAAATTATTTTTATATTAAGTCATTTATGTGTTATTTTTTATATTATATATATAGTGCTACACATTATTACTTTCTTATTTTATAATTAATACTTAATTATAAATAATGTATGTAATATATTTAACTAATACAAAGCATAAATACAAATAATAATTCATAAAATATTTTTTTAATTAAATCCTAATTTTTTACATTATAATATATTGTTATTATTTTATTATTTTTCACATATATATTAAGTATGAGCATGTAGAACTTTTCATTATCGATAATAAAATAATGTCTCTTCGTAGAATAAAACATTCATATTTATTATTTTCGGTGCGATCAAAACGGTTGGTAATGTCATCGCTCTTTAATTACCTCATCGAGCCCAATGCCCAGTTGCTTGTGACGAAAATTTATATGGCTGGCCGTCTTTAATAGTATCTTGTCAGTGCTACTGATCAACATTTATTTCTCCGTTTTTGGCTTTCATTATATTTGTAAATTTTTTCTAATGAGATAAATGTATTCTCGTATAAGGTGCATCTAGCGAGTGAGTGCTTTTACATAATTTTGGCACAACTTCACGTGTATTTCGCAACATTGAGATCAGCACAAATTATCATATCGGAGCGAAATTCATGACCTCCGGCGTGTGTTGCATTAAAGTAATAAGAGTGTAAGTAAGCAGATTCTTAACGTTCTTTTTTTGTTTCCTTTTGGAGAACTGTTGAGACGATGCGATCGTTCAAATTTTTCGACCTTCGAGAAGTGAGAGAATTTCTATTTCCTTCAATTTACTATCCATTTTGTGTGTATCAGTTATAAATTAAATACCTCAATATATTTGAGTATATTTTATAAATATAATTTTTTTATATTGGTGTGTAATCAGTTTTTATTTGGATGTATTGCAGATTATACAATAAACTTTTTAATAGAATCAATATGTTGAGAGATTTATTAGTGACAAGTGATTGGAGCATTCATTCTATGCCATGCAGAAACCAGCAAAAACATTAACTTATAAGGGAACTTATACTGCAATAACAATGAATTTAACTATAAGAAAAATTGTTGGAAATTCCAAATCAAAAAAGAACTCAGAGTTCTCATCTTCCTACAACAAAAGAGAGAGCTTATATTCATGAATTGGTTAAAAAGCTTAATCTGAAATAAAAGAGCCAAAGGTAAAATCAAGTGCGATCATCACTATATTTGTCGAATATAGCGATTAAATTTATTCAGTTAATTTTCCTTTTAGTAGATTTTTTATTGTGTAATTTTTTTGCAGAAAGGATATGAATCGATTCTTGGTGGTATATAAGACAGAAGAATCAACAATAATTCAAGCTGATGCTGTGATAAAATTATGAAAACTATTTAAGTAAAGCATACATAATTTTTTATTATAAATCACAAAGACATCCTTTTGTTTTCTCTAATAAAGAAAAAACATTCTGTAAATAATGTTGCTTTATGAAAAAACTAATTGATGGCAAGTGTTATTTATATATAATTATTTATATAGTTGAAAATGATATAGAATATTTAACACATAACTTACTTAACTTAAATATAAATATTCATATAAAAACTTAGTACCTAATTAATTTTTGATATAATATTTTTATTGTTGCAGTAAATACAAATACACTAACATAAGACAATCAGAAAGTTCTAATAATAATGGCATACTGCAAGTACCTTAATTTAAACTGAATTTTGACATATTGCATTTCCACAAATCTTTATCAGTTTTTAATGTAGTAGAAGATGTATCATCAAGTGATTATAATCATGGATGAAATGTAATGCAACAAAATTACACATATACCGAGACATCTTGAAATCATCTTTAGAATCACTGTTTATAATACAATGATAAAAAATACAGTACAAATACAGTTAAAGATGATCAATGTGCTAGATCTATAGAAAGATCTCACTAAATTAATTAATTATTTACTAGATTTGCCAATTGAAAAAGTTGCTATATGCCATTCGTGTTAAAGTGTTAAAATAATCATATTCATGTGGTTATAGATAATTTAATTTATTACATTATAATATTTTCTAGATAAAATTAAGTTACTAATTAAATTACTTACCATCATTACTTTTATTAATAATTATTTAATCAATTTAATAAATTTTAAAGCTGCAATTCAATATCTTGCAAAATTTAATATCTTTGCGGTGGGAATAACTTTTGTCCTTGATTGTTTTTCGTTTAATTGTACATTTAGATTCTTAAAAAAATATTTTTTAAAACCAAAAGTAAAAAAAAATGGAATTACAGCTTTAAAATTTTTATAACTGATTATATAATTATTAACGACTGCGGTCAAGACTGCACTATGAAACAGCCTATCTTTATTCTCATAGAATGTAGAACAAAGATAGAATGATGTTTCAAAGCATCCAGAGCGTCTTCCCGACCGCAGGCAATATAAAATAATTATTAACAGTTTAACTTTTAAATTACTTAGCGTTAGAAAAAAATTAAAATTAAGAGAATTTAAATAAACATTCGGGGCAAATGTTTTAAAGAAAAATACTAAAAAAATAAAGTTATTCTTGTCAAATAACGAGTAAATTCGAGAAAATGACTTGAATCAGTTTTTAAACTGATTCAAGTCATTTTCTGAACATTTTAGATGCACTCAAAATAGATAAAAAAAAATTTTTTTTCTTATCTATTTTCTTAATTAGCAAATTACACAATAGAAACATAGACACATATACACATTCACTTTAACAAATATTTAATAAATACTATTTAACTATTGCATAAAACAATTGTAGATATGTATTCTTTCACATCTATTTTTGATGTTATTATTGAATTACATATTAGGAATTATACATTTAATTTCAATCATATAAATAAATTGCAACTTATATTTAGATTACCTTTTCGTTACATACATACTATAGCATATATGCAGAAACAACATACAAAAAATTAGATTATTTTCAATCAATATATTTTATTTTAATGTAATTCTCGTTTTTTCATAATGACATGTATAGGTTCATTACTACATAATGTTAGATTCATATTTAATTTAATTTTATCTATTTGAACACTTTTCTCTACTTTGAACATAAATGTTCTTATCAAAACTGCTAAGATAACTTTCATTGAAATCATTGCATATCTCATACCTGCAAAAACTTATATTCAAGTAAATTTTTTTATTATGATATATGTTTTATGTGATTTATTTATACTCTCTTACCTATACAATTCCTGAGTCCATAACCAAATGGCATGTAATGTTTGTAAGATGTTTCTATTTTCTCAGAGAGGAATCTGTCCGGGTCAAATACCAATGGATTAGGCCAATATTTTTTATTTCGGTGTAGATCCAGTATACTCAAGATAACATGAGTGTCTTTTGGCAAGATATTCTCTCCTAAAACATATATACTTATATTTAAATTATTATATAAAAATATATAATAGAAAAATATATAACAGCAGCATTAATTATTCTAATAGAATTATTATAATAGAAGCATAATAATTAATTTATATAAATAAGGCCATAGCATTATAATTCAAATCGTCTTCATTTTATGTACCGTTATGTATTTGACCGTTATGTATTTGATATACAAAATTGCCATTGAATAAATAACATTTCTTACTAAATATTAACATGATTTTTTCAAATTCTTTCTTATTAAAGAATTTTGATAAATTCAAACTTTAATTTTTTTTTGTTTTTTTTTAAGATTTAATTTTTAATGAATATTAAAGTTGCTTTAAACACAACAATTCCCTTTAATTTTATAATCAATTTTATCTTCAATTAAACAAAAAAGACTGATGTGTTTTATTCGAATTTTACTTTGCTTATAATTCATAATCGAAATAAATTCCAAGAATAATTTTATAAAGAGAAAAATATCGATATTATATAAAATATATTTAGTATTGAATATTTTTCTATATTTATTTTATCTTTATGTATAAGCATAAAATAAACGTATAATTCTTAAATAATAAAATAATATATGTTTGTTTATTTATATATATTTGTAGTTATCTTTTAACAATTATGATTTTTCATATTTAACTTATACATAATAATAATAATATATATATACATATATATAGTAATAAGATAATTATATTTAAAAACAAACCCATTTTTATATCCTTTGTTAAATATCGCCCAATTAACGGAAGACTAGGAAATAATCTCATAGTTTCTTTAATGACACGATCCAAATAATCCATATGTTGTAAATCTTCGTATTTAATTGGAGCAGATTTTGGAGTTTCTGTCTTATAAATTTTCCATAATTCTCTATATACTTTTTCCTATTACGATATTAAATAAGATACTTGATTATAAATATATAATAAATATATAGACATATACACAATATGTATAAATCATAAAAGATAATCTTATTAATTGCATTTACGAATTCGTATTTTGATATTTAAATGCTTATAATGATCAAAAATCAATGTAGACATTGTATAGCTTTATTAAAATTCTTAATTTAATTAAAACATTACACACAAAATTCTTATTTGAGCAAATTTGTAATAAATAAATATATGACGAATATTACATTTCTTTTCTGTTTACTTGTTATAGGTATTATACTTATTTTGAAAAAAAAGTCGTTAATACAAATTAAATTTAAGTTACAATTTGAACAAAGCTATAGCGATTTAATTATTCTATTAAGCTCAGTAGAAAGTACTGTATAATTTTCATGTACTTGTATATAATTCATATACTTGATATAATTTATATACTTGCATATTAAAAGATAATTCTAAATAAATTATTATTTGTGAATAATTGAATTATTGAAAAAGAATTCCAAACAAATTATTATTTGTGTGAATAATTGAAATATTATTATTTGTGTGAATAATTGAAATATTGAGAAAGAATTTTTTTATTACTGTTTAAAAATATATTCACCATAGAAGAGAATCGTACGAGAGGAGATCCGATAATAGATATAAGTGTTAATTATTTGATTTATACATAAAACCTGGAAGTCATAGACATTGTTACATGGAGAAGAAGAATAGTAATCGTACGAGCGATATTATTTTTCTACTGGTTGAAGATTGGCAAGCCAATAAAATAACTGATCTAAAAATTATTCTAAACTCACAATTCGCACGGTTAACAGATTTTTGTAAGAGCTGGCATGAATCAAAATGTAAAATTTAGCTACTACTTCTCTTTTCCATGTTCTCTCTTTTCCAACAATACATGTTCATGAACTTCGAAGTTGCACGTACAGATTATATACATATAATCAATCCCTATATCCTTATTGCCGGGCCACCTTTATCATTCACAACATATTTCGTTTATTGAATAAATTTAATAAATGTAATAAATACATACTTGTATCTGTGGAAAATTGGCTAACATAAGAATCACAAAATCTACCGTAGTAGCAATTGTATCACTGCCCTAATAGATACAAATTTAATTTGTTGATTAATACAATAAATAAGTTAAAACAAAAAAAGTTCTGATATATTGAATATAAAAATCGGAAACAAATAGAGCTAATAAAAACCGAATGCAATAAGTGATTGTATTTACATTGTAAAAATGTCATTAGTGTAAAAATGTGTAAAAACAGTATAAAAATTCTCTTCGATAATAATATTTCAGTTCTTTCTTTGGACCATCTTTCGCATACAGAGATAAATAATATGCTGATAAAATATTATTCGATATAAACAAACCAAGAATAATCATTAAACTGTATATGAGAAGAGTAGATAAAAATATTTAAATTTTTAATTTTCGTTAAATTTTAAATAATCGTTACATGCGTGATGAAGATATTTGTCTATTGAAATTATTTTCCTAAACTTAATAAATAACATTATATTATTAATTTCTTATTTAAAATATCCTATACATCCAAGATTTCGTTATTCCATTAAAATTCGTGACTCGTTATTCATGTATGAGATTCGTAATAACAGAGTGTTGCAAAGTGCTTTTATTAATATCATTATGTTTTTGATGCGTGTTTTTAATAATCTACTCATTTGCAATAGAATGCACCAAATCTTTATCTGAAATTTTATAATTCTTTACTGTATTATTTGTTTATTTAAGGAGAAGGTCTTTATGAAAACTTAATTTAATAAAGGGATGCAATTTGTTAATATTAGTATAAAATAAAATTATATTTCGATCACCAACTCTGTGTCTAAAATGTTTTAAAAAAACTAAAAAAAAAGAATATATATATATATATATATACACACATATATATACCTATATATAGTATGTTAAAAAATATAATACGATTTGTATTATCAACATCATAATCGATTTGTTTTTTTTTCTTTTCATATTAAATAATGTTAATTGTATTGCAATAATATATTATTTATTTTTGTATGCTAAGAGGAAAAATGCTTCACAAAAGAACCATTATTAAAAGAAATTTTTACATAATGTAATGCATTTATTATTATTAGATTCGATTCTTATTAGTCCTATTCTTTCCGAATTTTTTATATTTAATAAATTGCAATAAATTATGTTTGTTTATATATAAATATAGTTATAGAAATATTTTAGATACCGCAGAAATTATATAGAAATATTTTACATACCCCAATTAACATCGTTATTAGATTATCATGTATCATCTCTTGCGGATATTTGTTTTGAAAAGACATTTCTATTATACTGTCAAGAAATGTCTTGCCTATATTATATAAAAAACAAAATGTAAAATTTTGTGCATGTCTGTATATATTAATTAGTATCTTAATTTTATAATAGTACGATTAAATATGTCACTTTAAAAATTAATATTGAAAATAAGTTCAGAAAAAGAAAAATATCTTCAGCAATGATTAATAAATTATTGATATGATTATTAAATGATTGATAAATTTAAATTTTAATAATGTTTTAACAATTGAAACAAGCACTTTAATAGTATCTTAAGTTTTTGAAAAAAAATTATATTGCTGACAATTTATAAATCTTACATCATAATACAACAATAAAAACATACAAATAAAAAATAAATAAAAACTTACGAGTTGTTCCATATTTAATGTCATTCTGTGCGTTTAATGCATATATATGCTTTTGTACTATCTATGTAATAATAAATTATGTAGTAAATATATATATTATAAAATACAAGTTATAAATTAATTCATTATTAGTATTCGCATTTACCTTGTCTGTAAAAGAATGTAAGAAGTTTATCTTCCTTTGCTGTTCTCGTCCCAAAGCAGTAAGATTGAATATAAAATCAGGATATAAGAATATATTTTGTATTCTTGACATACAAATTTGTTTCAAGCTAAAAAATCTTTTTTTTAAAATAATATTTTATATAATACAAAGCATTTAACACTAATTATTAAATTCTACGAATAGAACTGTTGAATAAGAAAAAATGTTGTTCTCTTATACGTCAACAATATTATTTATTTCTAGTTCTAAGTATACATCAACAATATTATTTATCATAAATATTTAATTTAAAATATAATTGCTATATTTATAAAAATTCTTATGAAAATACAATTTCTTAAAAAATTTGTAAGTTATTTTTAAATAAACTTATTATAATGATTTATAACATTTACATTAATATTGTAAGAAATTAGAGCTAACAAAATTATTTTACCTCGTTATTGCTTCCATATATTGATTGATTTCATTGGATAAGGATTCCACTTTGATATTCGTCATTATGTCTTTATAATGTCATGAAAAATAAAATAATTAATCAAGATTTATAACTATCACGATTTATAATCATTAATTTATTAATAATATTAAGTTATACATTTTATATATTCGTTAAACAAATGTAATACGAAATTTTTAAACAGAAAATGAAAGTTTCTTACAAAATACTTGAAAATAACAATTAACTATAGATTGGTTATTTTTAGTATTCAATTTTCTCTACATATCCAGGTAGCAGAATGACGTCAAATGACGTTTAAAGTAACGTTTTAATGAAGTGATAGTACGTCATTAAGGTCTCTTTAGATGTTATCTTGCTACCTGAGTATAAATTTATTTATATTGAATTTTGAATAATATTTTATAACATATCTTATTATCAAAATCTTCTAAAAAGTAAAATATATAAAATACAAAAACTCAAAAATCAAAAGATATAATAATAACTCGTACTAAATTACGCGTAGCAATAGCGAAGCGAACTATGTATATGAATCGTCCAGTTACAAAAATAATAGATTATTGGATCTCACAAAGTAATAGTTCTACCATTTAAAATCTTAATAGTTATAATCGACAGCTTGGATCTCATTATAAAGAAAGTGTTTATTTTTGTTCTATGTACTCAATAAACGAAAAGAGATGTAGAATTCTAATGTTTTTATTCAAGAAATATTTTAATAATCATCATGTTGCTTTTCGTTCTTTTCCATTACATGTGTCTCTATTGTATATGTTCTTTGGCGTACGATTTTTTTTATTATATGTAAAAAGTTTCTGTACAAAATGATATGAATCCTACTGCACAGTCACTATTTTGAACACTTTGGATAAAGCTTATCGGCGATAAGTTACTTCGCGGTATATATACAAATGTACAATATACATATTCTATATTTATATGATTGGACATCTACATTTTATATATTCTATGATGGGATAATTTATATATTGTTTAAACTTCTGTTCTTTTATACAATATGAATTAACGCCATTAATTATAAGCTTATTAGAAATCTAATCATTCTATGCATTATTAAGATTTAATAAATAAGATGATTTTAATTAAATAATTTGTGTATAAATATTACTAAAAAAAGATTAATGTACAATTGTCTTTCTAAATTTAAAAGTTTTAAATATTGTCTTTATAAGAAAAAGTAGAAAAATGCACTGTCCACACAAAAAAACTTCGTGTATAAAAGGGTATTAGTTTACAAAAAATAATAATACATAAAAAAATGTTATACAAACATTATTAAAACAAACATTATTTTATCATCTACTGTACAAATTTCTTTTATATAAAAAATTATAATGTAGCAAATAAGCTAAAAAACTATTTAAAGTTATATATATTTCTTGTTAAATTTATAATATTACAAAATACTGCAAAAATTTAAAAGTCATAAGTATTTCATACAAAAGATTTTTGTATTGCTATATCAATTGTAATAAAGTAACATGAATAATATGATAAAAGATTTTACTATCCATAATAAAATATTTTATTAACAAATTTCAAATTTGTAATACATAAAAATTATAATAGATTATACAGATTAAATTACATGGCAATCAAATATGTTTTTATCGTTATAATAAAGAAAGTTCTCTTACAGACATTTCTAAATGAAATACAATATTATACATATAATATGAATAAATAACAAAGTTTTTTTGTATTATTTTATTAAATTTTTATAATTTTTATATTTTTGCAATATTTTTGATATTAATATTTTTGCAAGAAAGATATATAAGTTTATATAATTTTTTTGCAAATTGACACATTTTCATATCATAATTTTTTTAAAATAAAACAGATTTTCGTGGATAATGAAATAATATTACTTTGTATTAAACTAAAATTTTTTTTAAAAATAATTTTTTTAACGATCGTGTGTATAAATTTGGAGTTTTTCCAGGTTTTCTTGAAAAGAATTTATATAGCTTTTTTATATGAATTTTTATATTATAATTTTGATGCGAATTTATGATTAACTCAAATGCAATTACAATTACAATTACAAATGCAATTATAATTACAATTTTTATATTACAATTAATTCAAATGCAAACTTATAATTATAATTAATTCAATGAAATAAATTTAATTCTGCTATTGTTAAATTATTGTAATTATGACAATTTTTTACTCCTAAAAATTTTATCTTTATATCATCTTTATTTAATATTATTTAATTTATGGACTATTTATAAGATGCGTCACACAAATAAGATGTTAAAGATAAGCATATGCATAAAGATTATGTATAAAATGTATAACACAACTATGTACGATTTTTTTTTTAATTATTTTATATATATATATATATATATATATACACATACATACATACATTCATACATATATATATATATATATATATATATATATATATATATACAGACGTTTTATAAATAAATAGAAATATTTAATCTTACCGCACGCACTATTCAGAGCATATTTTGATATTTGATTTAAAAGGATCATTTTATTTTCTTTTAACACAATCTTTTCTAATTGATCTGTTAATATTACAGATTGTTCGACAAATACATTAAAAGAGTTTTGTAGTGCGATTGTATTAAAATTCGGTGCTATTTTTTTTCGATTTTTAATCCATGTCGATACTGAAATAAATATATAAGAAGATAAAGTAAAAAAAAAGAATATATAATATACAAATAAAAATCATGATAATAAAAAATGTTAAAAATTTAAGTAATAATAATTTTAAATTTGCTACATTGCTGTCGAAGTATAAATAAAAATATTATATGACTACAGAAATACAAGTAAATTATAAAAGTTGTTTTAATTATGTTATTATGTAATTTAAATATTATAAAGAAAAATTAATATTATTAATATTTATAATATTATTAATATAATATTATGAATCATTATTAATAATCATTAATAATCATTATTATTATTGAGAATTATTAATAATAATTAATAATAATAATAATAATAATAATAATAAAATGATTATTACAATATTATTTTTTCTGTTGTCAATGATTTCGATTGACATTTTCACACTGCGACAATATTCCATGCCGGCATATTTGGAAAAAACCGCTAAAAATCTGGACTATTTTATAAAATCACTACGAACAGTCTTGGGCTAACAACGTTATAAACTAAGATAAATCCGATAAAAATGGATAGCAGCCCTAATTAGAAGTTATTTTAAATTTTATTATATTAACAATATCTTACCAGGTGCTGTGAGTAATCCTTTACCTAATATTGGTTCAAGAAATTTATATTGTATATTTTTCTCTTCACTATTATGTAAGATTATCTACAATGTTATATGAAATATTGTTAAATAATTCGAATACATATCTGTTATGTTATTCAGACAATTAACATGAGTAGTTTAGATGTCAAATGATACAGTCGACCCAAACTTGACATCAAATTATTAACAAATTTGAGATACAAATAATGTAATCATAGAATTATACTAAATTCATCTGTTTTCAGAGTCAATCAGATTGCATAATTAAATCATTTTTATATACTTATGATAAAAACAAACGCTAAAATCTTTATTTCTCAAATTTTTATTGTTCGTCTTGTACCACTTGATATTTGGGCTATTCATGTACTTTAGAAAATCACTTTGGTTAGATTAGTGATAAATTATGATAAAGATATAGAGAGTTATTATTTATTTGGAATCTATATACGTATTCCCTAAATAAATTAATTTGTTTGAATCATTCAATTAAAATATATTTATATTGAAATATATAGGCATTATTTTTTACCTGCATTTGATCAAATTCACATGTTCCAATAAATAATTTGTTAGCCATGTAAAATTTAAATGGAGATGGATATTTTCTTGCGAGTTGAGATATAATATTTATAAATTCTAAAAAATATTTATTATATAAGGTAATTTATCAAAATTTTATTATTTTGAATTAATAACAATATTTA